TAAGTAGTGTATATATATATATATATATATATATATACCATTAGTTTTCTGGGGAGGCGGTTAGGGGAAACCCCTACATATAATCTAGATCACCAAACCATCTTTTTTTCGTTTTTGAACTCATCTACGAATGGCGGCGCCGAGTTTACCCGCCACGTTGGATTTCCCCCGCATCAAAATCATGACCGCCGGGAACAGTGGCGTTGGGAAGAGCTGCCTGATCAAGCGCTACTGCGAGGGTCGCTTTGTATCCAAGTACATCCCGACAATTGGCATCGATTACGGGGTGAAACTGGTGAACGTAAACGTCGCGAAGCTGGAAGAGGAGCTCGCGAATCGCCCGAACCGCAGCCCGGAAGCCTCGTCTTCGGGGTCGTTGGCCATCACGCGCCCTTCCACCGCGGTGCGGGTGAATTTTTGGGATGTCGCCGGCGGAAAGGAGGCGTTTGAGATCCGCAACGAATTCTACGCCCCCACGCAGGGGATTTTATTAATCTACAACGTGGCGGATCTCAAAAGCTTTGAGGCCTTGGAGGCGTGGATGGAGGAGATCAACAGTTTTATTACCGTTCCGATCGTCAATACGGCGGCCAGACGGCCCTCGATGGGGGGTTCAACGATGACGGGAAACACCCCCGCCGGGCGGGAGGTGGGGGCGGTGATGGATCAGTCGCCGGTGATTTTTTTATGCGCGAATAAAGTGGATGGCGCCGCCCCGCGGGTGGTTACTGAAGAGCAGGGCCGACGTTGGGCAGAGGCTCATGGTGGGATGGAATACTTTGAGGTGAGCGCGAGCACCGATTTGAACGTCACGACGATGATGGATAAGTTGTTTCATCGGGTGATTGCGCGTTTTATGATATCCAAATAGCCCCGACATCTTTTTCTTTTTTTAGAGAGAGAGGAGAACAAACAACAAAATTGGAAGAAAAAGAAAGGAGGGGGAGGGGGGAGGAGTATGAAACGCTCGGTGAAGCGGACGGGGATCTTCATGCACGTTTTCACACCCCCTTCAATGGGTCCTGAAACGTGCACGAAGGGGTGTTGCTGCTCGCGGATTCCGCCGTTCCGAACCACCCCGTCATGAAAAGATTCCCACAAACGATGTAATGGAAAAGAGGAGGTTGAGGATCAGCGTAGGCTACCGTTTTACGCGAAAAAGGAAGTCGCCCAATCTCATACCTCACTGATGCTGTGTGCGAGCGTTTGATTTTTTTAAAAATATTCATCTGTTGATTCCACTTTCAATGGGAGGGAGTGTCCCCTCGGTGTCGTGCATCTTTCACATTTTCGTTCTCCAATTCTTTTCCTTCCTTTTCTTTTGTTGGTTTGCTTTTCCTTTTTCAGTTGTCGTCTTGGTTCATCCGCATGCGGCGACTTTTATCGTCCGCGCGGGCGCTTTCGCTATGGGGGGTGGCGATCCGCGGGATCATCGTTCCACGGCAGCTAAAGGCCTACGCCGGAACGTTCAGCAGCTCCATCGGCGAGCGTTTCAATTACCTGCCGGGGGATCAAACTCTCCAAAGCCTCTCACCTAGCCGTACGCAAAACTCCCCACTTCTTGCCAAACCCCTCAAAACAAAGATGATTGATAACTTCTCAGATATGCTCCTCGCGCCGGAACTGCTAACGGCGCTCACCAAAATGGAAATCACGACGCCCTCGCCAATTCAGCAAAGTGCGATTGAGTGTATTCTTCAGCGTAAAAACACCCTCGTTGCCGCCCCGCACGGGGAAGGCAAGACGCTCGCCTTTTTACTCCCGCTTTATCAAAATATGATGAAGGATCGGGATGTGTATAAAATCCCGTTACGAGAGCGTCGTCCACGGATGGTGTTACTCGCCCCGACGAAGGAGTTGATCACGCAGCTCCACGCCGTTTGCCGTCAACTCGACGCCGCCACGGGGCTCACCTCGGCCTCCTTCACTTCCCGCAAACGCGCGAAATATCACCTTTCGCGTTTGTTAAAAGAAAAGATGCCAGACGTGTGGATTATCGATCCGAAGGTTTTCCTCCGGCTGATTCGCGCGCGTCGGGTTTTTTTGGAGGATCTTCGCTACGTCGCGGTGGATGAGGCCGACGCGATGGTCTCCGCCCAGCACGATCACGACGCCGTAGTGTTACTCGCGAAAGTGCAAAAACGAGGAATGTTTCAACATCTTTGGCCGGTGCGCACGCAATTCGTGTTTGCTTCCGCCTATCTCACGCGAAAGTTGGAGCACGTCATCGGGGGGCGGCTCCCCGATACCGTGACGTGTATGTATCGCCAGACGATGCACCGCCCCGCGCGGACGTTACGGCATTACTTCCACCCCGTCTCGAAGGAGTCGGAGAAGCTCCCGATGCTGCTCTACCTCCTCCGCAAGTTCGCGCACGAGCCGA